ATGCAGCAGAAAACTCGACGTTTTGAAAAATCTTTCATCATATTCAAACAGGTTTCATGACTTCTGCAGCTTCTGAAAGGCCGAAACAATCTAATGGGAGATTTCTCAACAGTTTTAGGCAGTGTTAGTTTATTAGAGCTCTCCATTTATAAAAAATATTTTCATTTAAACGTTTTTAAATGAAAATAACTTGTCACTTTTATACCAGGCTAAAACCTTTTGCGCTTTCTTTTAAGTCGTTAACTTGTGAAGAAGACGAAGAATCACAAATTTTACATGAAAGAGGTCTGTAGCACCTCGAGTACATTTGCACGCAGCGGGGTCTCTGAACATTTTCTCTTCTGCCCTGTGATCTTGTTTTTAAGTAATAAGCTTCTTTTTTTCCCCTAGTTTGGGGAATGACTAACACACGAAGAGGAAAATATGCCATATTTCCAGCCTTAGAGGTTTTTGCATGAAATACATCAGTTTTCAGTGTAGTGGTTTTAGAACTTTCCTTCCACTCGCTTTACATTTCAACCAAAGCTGTAGACGTCTGGTGTTTCTGCATTCGTATTGTGAGAATAAACATAGTTGCACATATAAATCACTGGTTAGGACCCCAAAGATAGAGCGTCACTGCGCTGGTTCTTAAGTGTGCAACTAATACTTTAAAAATAACAACTTTCTGTCAACACTTCAGCTTTTTGTTATAAGAGTCTAATGTAGGTTTGACATTGTTGTCGATGCGGTGTGTTTCTAAATTGTTAATGAAAGGGAAGCTCTCGACTTACACTTTCTGTAGAGAAAATATCTTCTGATTATTCCGAGACGCTCTCTGCGCATCTTATTATATACTTTAATAAAGGAACGCGTTCCAGTTTTGAAAAACAATCTGTCTCACCTGCTAGTTGTATGCTGAGCAGTTTGGTAGCAGTTTCATTATATACACTGTATGACTTTTTAGGCGATGTTAGATTTTGTCGTAGTAGCACAGAAGATCGACAAGGTTAGTGAGAGGCGCTGTTCAAACGGCATTTTTTTTTAGTGAAATTGTCTGCTTCGTGTTTGTTTCAAGTTCTCTAATCCATTACGTTCCTCTCTTCCCGCTAGTCATCGCTCTTTTTTTTTTTTATAAGTGACGGAAGACAGACAGAGATACGACTCGGAGAGAAAACACGAGAAAAAAAAAGTCCAGAAGTGCTCGACTCTTTCCCCCTCCTCTGCTCCCGCAGGTTTTCAGGGTGAATTCAAGAGAAAACTAGAGAAACGTCTCCCCCGTACATCCTCCTCCGCACTCCCCTTTTATCCTTTCACATTGTTTCATTCACACTTTTTTTTTTTTAAAATTCGGCTGTTTTCTCAAGGTGAATTTATTTATGCAAACACTCGTTTGCATCAGATTCAGACACAACATAAGAAATCTCTGTAATTAAAGGGTCTTTAGAGCAGTTGAGGTTTCTAAGCCCTGAACGTAATACGTTAGTGAGGTGAAGAACAATTTTAAATTGCAATAATAACAGTAATAATAAAGCTTTTAGTTTACTGCCCTTTTTAATATTGAAATACATGATTCCATACAACTATAATTTTATGTTGGCATGATCATCAAAGTAGTAATGTTAGGTTAGAGATAAAGAGCCTGAGAAACCCACTGTGGTGATTCAAGTTCATCTTTACAAGTAAACTCTGGAGGAGAAGACTCTCCGTGCCACTTACCAGTTCACTGTACTGCATTTGGTCTTTTGGTATTTGAAAGGCGTCAAAGACAAACATTAAAAAAGATAAAAGATTTAAAAAAATAGGGACAGCAATCTCTCAGCACTGTTAGAGAACAGACAGCGTGTGTCGTATTTAAAATCGAGTGTTTAAAATCTGATGAAATGTTTCACTCTGGCCACCACGAAGCCTTGAAAGAACACCTTGTAATTTATAGAAATAAAATATGGGCATTTAACATATATGCTAATGTTGAGGTTGATCTGTCAGACAGTTGAGTAGTTACTGCATTATCTATTATGCATGTTAATACTGAGGTTTGCAGTGTGTAATCGCACTGTACAAGTGACCTCAGCATTAACATGACCACCTACACACTCAGATACTGATTTTGATTGTTGCTGGATTATTGGATCATTCAATACTTATAACAATTCTTCATTTATTACAAAGTCACCCACCTCTCTAAGGACTGGACTTGAAATATTTCCAAATGTGAGCAGTTGGACAGTAAATGTCCCGGCTAGTGTGGCTATTAATCAAACAGGCATCCCAATTTAACTGTCTAGGATACTTTGATAATGCTCAGTTTGTTCAACTTCGTTTTTGTTCATTTAATATGTAGAAAGAAACTCATGCACCTGAAAAATATGCATGAGTTTAATGTTTACACAGATATTTAAAGTAAGAGAGCACATTGGCACAGGTTATATGTGTACAGCTGGTTCCAGTTTTATGAGCTGTATATAATTGTATATACATGTGACTGCTGACTGTATACACTGTACAGATCTTATATACTTATACTACATGTGTAAATATATATTAGTTCACTACTTTTTTGTCTTGTTGTTTTTAACTGCTCATACTTCCAACCCTTATGTTTTTTATACCAACCACAAAGTATTTTATACCTTAGCACTGCCAGTCAGTTAACCACATAGTATATTTAGATCCTTGGCAGTGATGCAGAAGGCTCATTTTAATTTCACTGTAATATATTTAGGGACTCGAGTCCCTCATGGTCTCGTGTGTGTTAATATGACCGTGTGTGTGTGCGTCTTTGTGGCAAACGTTGCAGCTCACAGAATTGTGGACCTGCCGGTGGTTGTGTCTGAGGTCGTGAGTTGGTGTTTTAAGGTGACTACATGACATAACAAAGGCAGAAAATGACAGATTAGCAGTTAAAGGTGCATACTATGTATGTGTGTGTGTGTGTGTGTGTGGCTGGTGAGTGGGTGGGTAAGTGGGTGGGGCTGCAGTGTTTAGAGGGTTCCCTGAACCTCATCGTTTGTCGCCGTCTTCCTTCCTGTTTCATTCTTTCTCACTTCCTGTCAGCTGACTCAGCCGGAGAATCTTGATCTGGTAAACATGTATGCTACCGCCTCTGCACACGCACTCCTTCTATATCACACGCACACACACACACACATAAAGTGTGCTGTAGCTAGACAATGCATGTACATCCATATATACTGAACCACACCATGTGTACCGGAAAGAAACACAAGTACTTTTAGCACTTGTTACATGGTCAGAGTTGGTTACTGAGCCGTAGAAATAGAGCCCATGTAGCAAACATATAGCTATATGTATATAACATTAAAAACTGTTATTACTCCAGAGTCTGTGATGAACTGCTTTTGAACACACCTCCCCCCTCAAAAACCCCCCAGCATAAACTAAAAAGCTGACAACAAATGAAGGGATAGAAAGAAAAGAAGAGGCAGAGATTAAAAAAAAGGTGGCGAAAGAAGAAAGACGGCATGAGAGACAACAAAGTTGGGCGCTCAGTGAGAAAAGAGAAACAAAGAGATAAGGCCAGGCGAAGAGGCGGAAAGAGACACAGAGAGATGGAGGAGGGGGGCAGAGAGATAAAGATAGCTGAAAGGAGGGAGATCCGTCAGCGTTTGTTTCCTCAGGATGTGGTTACCACGACGACGAAAAGGCAGCGAGGCAACATCACTACCCCGCTGGTCCTCTTTGACACCTGCAAGTGTGTGTGAGTGTGAAAGGCAGAGTGTGTGCGCGAGTGCGTGTGTGTACATCTGTTTTCAGTGAGTAAGTAAGTCGGTAAATGAGTGTATCGCTGTGAAAAAGACAGACTATAAGAGCTGTCCATTTTGCCTCAAGTGTGACAGACAGTGTGTGCGTGCATGCGTTAATGTATGTGTGTACTGTCAAAGGATGCACAGTAAGGGGAGAGAGAGAGAGAGGTAGTAGGAAGGACTGTGTGAGAGGTCGAAAATCTGAAAGGGGAAATAATTAGACGAGCAGTCGAGACGGTGGAGAGGCAGAACGAATGATGACAGCAGTAAGAAGAACAATAAGAATCCGAAAAAATGAACAACAGAAGACAAACTTCTGTGAAAAGGAAATTAAGCGCCAAAGACTGGTAAAAAAAAAGAAAAAAAAAACCTCAATACGTATACAGTGTATTTGTCGCTTCATCTCATCTTACTTGGTTCTTTCTCTGTCTGACTCACTCAGTGTCCTATTTAGAGCAGAGTGTGGTTTCAAGAAAGAAAGAAGAAAAACCAATGAAGACTTAAAGATTTAATGCAATGTAAATATCTGTATTTGAACAGTATAATGTCAATCACAGTATCAGAAAGAAAAGTGACTGTCATGAAACTGAAGGAGCGTATTAATTTTTCTTTTCTACAGAGCACCGACTGGTAGGAAAATGCCTTTCTCTTCAGTCACTTCTCTGGTTTTCGTGCAGCGTTCGTGCATTTTTCTTTAGACTATGTTGCGGACATTTACTATCTCATTGATGATCTGATTAAATAAGGTGCAAAACTGTGTAGGTGTAAATGCTCAACAGGAATGTGAATGATTAGAAAAATGAAAATGGACATTTAAAAGACGTCTCTAATAGTTAAGAACTGCAGCAGTTTGTGTGACGGCGTGAGACTACCGTCATGATGTTTTGTTTTAGAAACAGTAGAGTAAGAAATCATCAGGCCATTTAAAAATAAAGTTAAATAACATGTTGCTAGCTTGATGCTGTGGTTACTAAGTTGATGCATGTGTGAGTCTGTAGGCCTGTTTGAATGACCCAGCTATGTTAGTGCTGCTTACTTGGTTGTTTTGATTGTAACAAGAACACATGTGGTTTTTAGCTAGCTCAGATTTTGATGTCGGCAAAGATAGAAAGCATAACAATACATGGCACAACTGATCTTTCCTATAGGTTAGTTATCACCACACAAGTCATCTACTTTGCACAGACGGCTAATTGGATACTTGTTTATCAAATTTATGTTTTCATACTTAAGCTCTGTTTTTGTTACCTTCAGGCACTCTAGCAAAATCCAGAGGCCCATTATGGAGGATCGTTCATCGTCCACCCAGTCTTTCTCCAACCTCAACCACCACCGCCACCGTCCATCGTTTTCTCTCACCTTTGCCAACTGCCAAGGCTCTGAAGCGGGATATCTGTCATCTCAGCCTGGCCAGGATCCTCTGGAGCAGTACGAGTGTAGAGGGGAAGAATCCACTGCTTCGTTCCTGACATCAAACGCCTCCTCTGTGACGAGCAAGACGAGTACTGGGGGGGACAGAGTGTTCCTAAGCACGAGTGCCAGCAGTTTGGATGGAGATGCTAGTTTTGGCCACCTTGATGGAGACGGTGCCTTAGGCAGCCATTTTGACGACTCTTGGTATGGCAAAAAGGAAGCTTGGGAGGATAAGGATAGTTGTGAAAGCACCACAGATGGGAAAGGTGATTGTTACAGTAACACAAATGATGTTTTTTACACGATAAACTGTCCGAGTGAGGAAGGAGCGAGGCGTAGAGTCAGAGCACCCTATAATAATTATGCTCACGTAAAGAGTGAGCCTAAAAGTGACACTGTGGTTTACAACAGGGAGGGTAACGTTAGCCACTTTCCTAAACAAACTCCGTCTTGCAACAGAACTGGTACAGTCAGCTTTAATGACAGCAGCGTAGATTATTGTATGATGGACGCAAGAACAAGTGATAATTATTTAGGGAGAGATGACAATTATGGGCCCAGTTGTGGCTCAGGTGAGGTTCAGTTTCAGCCAGCAGAGGCTGAGGGACATTGGCTTAATGTCTCTCCCTCAAGTCAGGGAGAGGCGAGGTGGAGAGCATCAGCGGTCAACCACGCGCTGGCCTCAGGAGCCCTCCCGCAGAGATCGCTTATCGGCATCAACAGCAGGACATACACTCAGAAACTGGATTCCTTCTCTGAGGCCTTTCTCTCCCAGCGAAAGAGAAGATTTCCTGTGATACCCGGTGGAGATCCCTCTGGACAAATCTGGGAATTTGGAGTAGGGAGAGGCGAAACCCCAGGACTGGTCAAGTCAAGGCAAAGCTGTGCTTTTGACTCAGACACCTGTCTGCCTCCCTCTTCCTCTTCTTCTTCTTCCCCTGCTCACCCCTCCTCTCTTCCATCTTTCCCCTCTCCTCCCACATCCTCTCACTTCATGCCTTCTGTTCTTAGCCCTCCTCCCACACCTTTACCTCCTCCACCCCACTCGCCCTCCAAAATGGACTCGCCCAGTGGATACGGGGGCACCGGACATTCAGTCTCTCAGGGAGAATCACTTAGTATGCTCCAGTTTTTTGCCTCCCGCATCTCATCCGCACCTTCTGTCCACTCTTCTGGGATGATATGGAAGCTTCCACTGCTGTCGCACAGCTTTCCACAGTCATCTGGTGACCCCGGCAACATTGAATGCAACGTAAGAGCCTCCCATGGTGACGACTATGGCAACATGACAGGTATCGTATAGCTTTTTTTTTTTTTTAATGAAATAATGAAGTAAGAATCCAGAAGAATACATTTCAAGCTTGAAGGATAAAGACCGCCCACAGGGTAAGAGGGGGATTTTTATTATAGTTTATTTGACTGTTTGAGAAAAAAGAATCAGGTTTTTCCCCCTGTAGAGGTCAATTTTTAAGATTTTGTTTTATTTCACTTCTTTAACTTTCAGACTAAAATAAAATATCAAATACACATTTAGTTAATAATTTTTTAACATTTGTACTTTTGGATATTTATGCAAATAAATGCATATTAAATAAGATTGTGTCTAATTTGCATATATAAACATACAGTTTTAGCAAAAAAACTACTCTTAGCTTTGACTTTAAATACTAGTTTTAAACTAATATGAAATTTTACAGCACATATATTCAAAAGAAACTTTCTTAAATTACATTTTTCAGTAGAACTGACTGAATTTTTAGGAGAATTTACTTTAAATTAATTTTCCACTTGTATTCAAGTCTGTAAGGTTTCTATTTAAAATAAACTGTACACATTCACAGCCTGTTTTATAAAGCATCCTTTTCCCAAGAACTGGCAGGCTGCTGACAGTATTACTGTAGTACTGATTTACTAATCGATAAATGATAAACAAAATCCCCTTAGTCAATACGTTTGACTCTAATATGACAATGAAATGAACAAACAAAGACCAACTTTTAATCTGGCTTCATATTATGTTCAGACTTGTGTTGTGGAAGGTGGTGTATTTTTAGAAATACAAAGAAAAATTGCCTGAGTCTAAGTAAACAGCGATTTTTTATTTTTTTTTTACCTTCTTCCCATGTTGTGTCCCCTTTAATTACCTTTATTTTCCCCACTTATCAAAAACCACAGGTTAATGCCCACATGTAAATTTACGGGACATGTGGGTTTTTGTAGGTGTGCGTGTTAAGTTTCCCATTTCCCTTATGCAAATCAGGGTTTCACTTTTCACATTTTCACAACCAGAACCATTCGTAATAGATGCATTTCATACATACATTTGAAAACAAGCTCGTCAAAAATGAGCAGAGCGAAAATGCGGGTTTTTCTCGAAACTCGATCGTTGTTTTTCTGCGTAACAGAGAGACTTTAGTGTGACTTTCTCACTTTTTTCTCGCTTTTGTCGGTGCACAGATATAATGACTTTTTGATGATTTTGTTTGTCTGTGTCTGCTTGCCTTGGAATTAGACAGTCAGACAAATCAGTAAATAATAAAGCCCTGGCAGCCTCATTATTTGCGTGCACACTCACTGCACTCCCTTTACTAATTTCTTCCTCCCGATTATGTTTTTCTAGCCGCACGCGACATTCTTCAGTCTCCTGAATCAACCCTGCTTACGCCCTCTTCCCATCGTTTATCCCTTCACCAATCCAGAGCCCTATGCTCCTCCAGTGGTCCATCCCCCAATTCCCCTTTCCATCTTCCCTCTCATCCCCATCATCCGTCTGGGGAACATCACGAGACATCAGAAAAGACGTCTCCTCATGTTCTCACCCAGAAAGTAAGGAATGGACCCGCCAGTCTAAACCAGTCAAATCTGCAGGTATAGCACACTTACCAGTACGTGAAATAAGACGTTTTAAACTTATGCATTGATACTCAGGGAAATTGTTTCGTTCAGTTTGCTGGGTTTCAGACAACAAAAGCAATATCAGCTTTGTCTTCACATATGTGAGGTCCAGCTTTGGTCTGCATTAAGACTAATCAGGTTCTCAGGTTGTATGATTGCATAAAAGATAAAACCTCAGATGATGGATAACCTACATTAGAATATATAATTTTATATATGTTGCTAAATCATACTTGAGAACATCTTTGCATGCAAGATTTTACAAGATCAATTTTGAGCCTTGTTATTGTTCTCTATGTTAGAGAGCCACAAAATTACCTATCCACTACAGAAGTAGTGCAGACGCAAACTTCATGTCTCAATGAAGATGTGAAACTAAAAGAAAACACATGTAATAAAAATATAAGCCGTGGCATGCTGCTGTGTTTTAATTGACACATTTTCTCACCGTTACTCTTCCATGGCCCAAACTCAGGAGATCAGTTAGCGAGGAGGCAGGCGAGACTCGCTACAGCTGGAGAGGCGTCGCAGTCAAAGTGGGCGGATGCCTAAATGCTTCTTTGTCAAGAAATTACGTTAGCTCCAACTGCATTACTGCTTCTAAAACCACAGCTTTTTATTTTTAGACATGTTGAGTAGATAAACTGTGTAAACGAGACAGACATGGAAATGGTGATAGGCCTGTTGTTCGCTTTAAGTTAGAGTAGGCTGTTGCTCGGGCACCCTTCATATTTGTCTCGGCGTACATGAGAACACACGTGATCATTCAGCATGCATGTTATAAATTTGATGTTGGCCTTTTCTCTGTATTTGTAGCACAGAAGCATCTCTGATCCCGTCAGCTCTTACACTTAGACCACTGTGCAGATGTTTCTAAAGTCTCGCCCCAAAATGTTAGATTATCGTGCCTTAGATCATCAAGGATATCAGTCTCATTTTTTTCCTTTTGTTCTCAAAGCAACAAGACAAGCCAGTCTACACTGGAAAGCCTTTCCCCAGCCTGCTTCGCTCCTGCAGAGGACTGAAGAGGATTTGTTACACTCCTTATCCGCTCCTCAATCCTGCCCGCAGAGGAACTGGGCTCTTCTCCTCCATTTCAGGTCTCCATCACAGAGAGGAAGGAACAGCGTGTGAAGAAGAGGGCGAAGAGGAGTGCAGCGTGTTTCGGTAAGTGCTAAATATCAGAAGACTAGTGGCAGCAACACAACAGTTGTTACTGTACTGCTGGCTAGGATAATAGTTATAGAGAATCAGAGCTACAGATGTTTTGTTAATGAGAAAGCATTAACACATCAACGGATATATATTTAGGTACCTTAAAGTTTATATTGTTGTCTTTGATGTCTGTTTTCATATTTGCGCTCCATTTGTTTCTCTTTTTGTTCCCCTGCTTCCAGATTTGTCAATGTGGGTCCAGATTTCCAGGCTAATCTTCCTCCATGCTTAGCCGATGGCAAACAGTCAGCGCTGCGGTCACCAGACGAAGAGTCCCTTAAGGAACAGTTACTCTGGAAACCATTGGACAAGAAAGAAGAAACTGGTGACTTACCAGGTCAAGGTAAGCAGCACACAAAAAAACAGTCCAGCTCAGGACAGTGACTGCACTTTTAAATTTTGTGGAATTCAAGGACTTTCAACATTTTAGGGAAGCTAAAATGTCAGGGCTGAACTCAAAACAAGTTGATATAAGTGAGCAAAATAATAAAGTGTCTCTAAAATGAACTGGTACTGAACTGATTAAAATTTACTGGGTTTATCTGTGCTCAGTGGAGAAGCTGCTGTCCATGTGCAGTTCCAGCTGCCTACCAGGGGGAGGCAGTAACTCCGAGCTGGCTCTGCACTGTCTGCACTCTTGCCAGGGAGACACAATGGTAGGAAGTCTTTCTTCCTTTTCTTTATCCTTTTCTTTTTTCTTTCTTTCTTTCTTGGCAATGTTGCATCCCTCATTTTCTATTCTCTCCATCTTCCGCCACTCCCTCCTATGCAGGCAACACTGGAGATGCTGTTGTTCTCACAGCCGTCACCAGCAGGAGACTACCATTACTCTGGTAACCTTTGACCTCAGTTTAACTCACCTGCTTACATGACTCTTTGGATTGACAGTGTCTAGTTACCCAGAAAACAGTCGTTTCTCAGAGAAAAATACCATTTACATGGACTAAGCATACCTACTTGTAACATTAAAAACAATAGTTTTTGGTTTTATGAAAATGATATGTTATTATCATGCTGGCATAAAACTATGGACATTTTAATTGGATCTCCATAAAGTCATGTTGCATGACTTTTTATTCTGTCCACCACTACTCCAACCCAACTTTTTACTTGACGATGATGACAATGATTATTACTATTATTATTAAAAATATTATTGTTTTGCTGTTATGCATATAACAATGTTCTTGTTGGTGAATGCTTGCCTCTGAGGAAAACAAAAATTGTCTTTGCAACAGCAAAGTCCAATAGTGGTATTACTTGTAGGGGTTTGATTGGAGGGGTTAATGTGTCTATAGCCATCTATATCAGAAGAGTAAAAGAAGTCACATGATCTGGACATGGGTCTGTGTTCAGATGGGATACAGTTTTTCTAACTAACTATCTAAATAACAAGGTAACAGCAAAAAGCGGTGAAGCAAAACTAGCTAAAACATGTTGTGATCGTAGGCATTTACCTCTTGTGTTTCTCTGAAACACTAAGCAATGTGAGACAGCAAAGGCGGAACAATTCTCACTGTGCGTACAATGAAGGCATTGTAGCAGCTTAGACTTCTCTCTACCTCAATCACATACCACAGCCCCTCCCCCTTGCCTGGTGCTTTTAAATCCACTAAGAACCATGTAAAGTACAGAATGGACATTGTTTTGCATGGTAGTACCCATGTGTTCCTGTAAAAAAAGCTTTAATACTCTAAATGCAGGCAGTACTGTTCACAGAGACAGACTGCAGATTTATTGTTCATCTATTTGTCTTTCACTGTCAAGTTACTACATGTGGTAGCGTTGCTTAATATGTTACTGTGACCCTGTAGTGTTTCCTTTGATTTCTCATGCACCTTTTGTCCCTTCCCACTCTCTTGTTGTGCGTAGGCTGTGATCTTTGGACAGATACTGAAAAGACTCTCTTCAGTGACGCTCTCGGGACTTATGGAAAAGACTTTTCACTCATACAGAAAATGGTAAAACACAACAAATGGTTGTTGTTTGTGCAACACGATGACACACGGCACCATAATCAGCCAGCAGTTTACTGAGATAAAAATAATTATTTGTGGGTCAAATCAGCGCATAGAATGAAAAACAGAACTTCAGCACCACAAGTATTCTGCTGGTTACTTCAGGGTGAAACAGTATGTTCCTCAGATGCAATTTTCTTCTTCTTCTTGCCTAAACCTGTTCAGTTTTTGGTGTCTCACCACGCATATTACTGGACTGCATCGTCTTCCCCAAAGGGCCTTTTGGCACTTCAAGGATCAAATTACTAACCTTGCTGTTCATACACAAAAGGCAGTGGCTTCACCGCCCGAGCCATCAGCGAGCCAAGTACATGTTGCAACTCGATTCACAAGAGCTGCAGTTTGCACACGAAAAGTCTGGACGAAATATCTGAATGTGTCAGGTGATTTTTTGCTTCCTGACACATGTCAGTTCATAGGGCCTTTTTAGCCATATTTACAGCAGAAGCATAGACTGATTTTATATTCCTGTGTCACGGTGTAAGACATATGTTATGTGGCAATAAATCGAGATTGGTATGTGTGTGTGTGTTTCAGGTGAGGACTAAGACAGTGTGTCAATGTGTCGAGTTTTACTACCTGAGCAAAAAGCTGCAGGACAAGCAGAAGAAACAAAAGGAGGAGGACGAGCGACGAGATGTAGAGCTGGATCAGCAGAAAAGTGTAAGAAACATTAAAAGAAGCCACGAGGAACTTAAAATTGCATTTTTTCCCCCTTTTGTCAACATGTTCTGTTTACTTCTTTTGCATTTGAATGCCCCGTGTCCAGCTTTCTTTCTCCCTGTTGTTAGTTCCTGTGGTGGTTTGTCTGTTCTCATGATATTATAGATTAGAAGCTAATAGGATACAGGGTATTTGGACTATTCGTGTCGTCTAACATTAAATGCGTCACATAAATGGAGCTCACAAATCAGAGAACGCTAACTCTTAAGTGCTCCTGTTACTTTAGGTGACGCCCATGTGTCAGCCAGTGGACAAACAGTTTGCTCTGGAGGGGGCTGTTCCTGTGACCCCATTGGCTAGCTTCTTCCCCTGCAAGTTGTGTGGCAAGTAAGTAGCACCAGTCATAAGAAAGGAAGCTTGCAACAAACTTTTTTCTGTGTTTGGCATCAGGGCAAACAAACAGATGGTTTTCATTGTCAAGCATTCTTTTAAATTCCGTCGTTCCCTCCCCTCCTTGTTTGCTCCAGGATGTTCTACAAAATCAAGTCCCGTAACGCTCACATGAAGATCCATCGCCAGCCTCAGGAGGACTGGACCGACAGGCGGCTGCAGCACCAGCTCCTCACCCAGCGTCTGGCCCTCAGTCGTCCCACCAACCTCATGCCCACCCCAGCTAGTAATCTGCTCCCAGCCCAAGCTCCGGCTCCAGCATTTACCTCCTCTGATTTTGCCGGAACGAGCAGCAACAGTATTGTAGACAGTGTCCACAATTCTGTGACCAATAACAACCCCGGCGTTCCCAGCAACGCTAACGTCCTAGATCCCAGCACGGTTGTATCTTATAGCAGCATTGCTCCTCCAGACTCTCATGGGATCGCCAGTATTGATGGCAGAGACTCAAATCAAAGCGAGCCCACCACTGTCTTACCCTTCCATCAGTCATGGGGCTCCTTCGGACATCCTCCAGACCAAAGTGCCTTCTACTGCAACACAGGGGGTAAGGAGGATGTTGGAGCTGAGACAGTGGGGGGGAAACAGACAACTAACTGGCAGTAGTGGTCAACTATCCCACAAGCATTACCACCACTAAAGTCTGAAACGTATTCAAACTTTGTGTTTAAGTTCAAACTCGTGTTTTATTCAAACTTAAGTACTTTTATGAAACATTATCAAAAGATACATTTTTGCTGTAAATCCTGTACTTAAAGGTGTTACATATTTAATTGTTTGATAAGCATTTGATGTTTGAATAAATGTTTAAATTGAGGATTGTTTTTTAATCATTCTGTATTTGTTTAAATGGAATAAATGAAACCTTTTTTTTAGGTCTAAATTTTTATTCTTTTATTCTACAACGGTTTGTCTTATATTGGTACAGTCAGTTGTTAAGCTCCTTGGCGCCTCTCTCGAGACCACCTTTCTGCTGATTGACTGCTCCACATAAAAGGCAGCAGGTGTGTGAAGCTGTGTGCATGAGATGACCACATTAGTGTTATTTTTCTTTCTGACATTATCCAAAACCGAGACCAGAAAATAATTTATTTAGAGTATTGTCAGGTAATTCATCACGTGTCCTTGAGCCACAGTGACTCTCCCCTTATTTCAAAAATACCTTAGATTTGAAGGTTTAAAATTCAAGCAGGGACTGCAAAGGTAGACGTTAGCGAACACAGACACACAAACACACACACAGAGCACGTTGAAAGGGTTTGATATAACACCATAATGGGCTAATATTGACCTTGAGAGACCATCTTCTCTCTTACAGCCGTCTGAGTGCACACAATTGTCCCGTTGATGGTTAACTACAGTGACTCTGTGTGCATAAGTGTGTGTTTGTGAGGGAGAGAGTGCATGTTGTTTTTCATAGAAACTGACAGGAAAAGAGAAACTGTGCGAGGGTTAAGGATGATATTAAAACTCCTCCATCCAAGGCTGTCTTTTTGAAAACTGCACAAAAAGACAACTCGGAAAAAGCAGATTTTCATATTTCTTTTCTCCGTCCTCGTGTTTATTTCTCAAGCGACTGGGTCAGCTTTGGTCCACCAGGTGGTTTAGGCTCTATCAGGGTGCTGAGTTTTCTTTGGTCCGCTATCTTAGTGAGAACTATTACCATCAACAGAGCGATTAGTGCGTTTACAAAGGGTCCCTGTTTGTTTGTTCGTGGATATATCATTCTGTCCTTCTAGGTGCACTTGTTTAAAACACTTGGGAGCAGGTACTCAGTGATACTGAATATCTTTGTTTCGTTTTTCATGTATTCGTATTGGAGCATTCCATGCTTGACCCTGTTTTTGCCCCTGATAATAGTTAACAAAGGCCTTTGAAGTGAAACGCTCCCTCCTCCTGACAAAAGTCCAACATCTCTGGCACATTTTTGTCTGCCCTTCTTTTGGCATAACGACGTCTAACTACTTTTAGAGTGTGAGCTGCTTCTGCAAGCAGGGTTCTCCTTTCTGTATCTTTTGCACATATCCTCCTGCAGAGACAAAGCATTATCATCGTATTTCTAATATGATTCATATTAAGGTGGGGAGACAAAATGAGCCTTTCGTTCACTCTTATGTCGAGAAGAAGGGGAAGCAGGAGCAACAGTGTTGGCCTTTTTCAATGAGTAAGAGAAAGTGAGAGTGCACAGGCTTGCAGATAATGGGGAGAGGGGGAGCAGACCAATGAGGAGAGAGAAGTGGGACTGAGGAGAGAATAAACAAGTTTCTGAGCAGTATCCATTCACCTATTCATAGCGAGCAGCCCCCACCAC